GTGGCCACTATTCCGCACGAAAACCCCGTTTCTGCTGAACCTGCTACTGCCAGTGCAGCGGTATAACTGCCTTCAATGTAGCAGCACAGCTACAGAGGTGTTTCTAGTGGTTTCATCTTGGAAACCCGGACACTGAAGTGCCTAAAAACTAAGACAGACCACCTCCAGGCTAGACAGAGGGCAGGTGGCTCAATCAGTACTCAGAGGATAGGACTTCCCTGGCCTGGCTGGATTACAGAGTAGACACACAGAAGCTGCGTGTGGCTGAGAGAAGTAAATAGGTTAACAGATATTTCCTTTCTCCATCCTTCAGTGTCAGTCTGAATTATTTTTTTGTGGCTGCTCTGTCTTGACTTCTGGTGCAGGGTGTCCACCACCACCTTCTCTGCAAAGCCAAGGGTGGCATGAAGGACCTAGGGTGGAACTCACCTCATATGTCTGGAAGTCCAGGCTCTCCTTTCATTCCTATTGGACAAACAACACCATCAATTGGTCTTCACCTTCTGCACCTGCTGTCCCCTCCTCCAGCACTTAGCATAATTTGTTTTACAAAAGAAATCCTGCTGCACTGGCAAGGGGCTGAAGGGCTGGGGGGGGGGAGTGTTGCGCTGATTCACATGCACAGCAGAGGCACAGACACCAGGCAGCAGGAGCTCAGCACATGTTCTGCCCCCACCATTCCCAGGCCCACCAGAGGAGACCCACCAAGGGCCCATCTGCACAGACTAAGAGCACAGTAGGACAGTGACAGGTGGGGACCCAAGTCACAGACTCCTGTAATTAATAGTGGTGACACCAGCACCCCAGTCATGGGGAGCAGTTCTCCAGATTGCCCAGTAGGAACATGGTGTTGGACACGTTTCAGATGCAGCTTTGTCTCTTTTCACACTATATATTTTCCCCTGACATCTGATGTGGGGACAGTAGATCCAAAGGTTGGTACAAGATGTGTCTGCTGGGCCTGGCCTGGCCAGCCCCGAGCAGTCACCAGCATCCTGAGCCAGGGGGTCTCATTGGGCAGGGACAGTGGGACAGGAGAAGGGGTGGGATGGGATAGGGGTGTGTGAGGAGGATCTGCAGCTGTGGGACAGCATTGTTGAACCCCAGGTGGGGGATGGGCAGCTGTAGCAGATGGCCTGAGCAGACCCCGCATCAGCAGGGCTCCAGTGGCTGCAGCTGCAGGGTGATGGTGTCCATGGCCCTCACCTGTGGGGTGGCAGCATCAGGGAGAAAACCTTGTTTTCCCCCTGTCCTTCTGCTCAGGGCTGGTGGGGAGACAAGATCCTCTGGCACCAGCAGTGACAGTTTCCTCCAGAACTCTGCCTTTGGCCATGACATGGCAGGGTCAGGGCTCTGCCCAAACCCGGCTCATCCTTCAGGCAGGAGGGTAAAGCTCTGCAGTTCCTGTGCCTGATGGTGCTGGGCAGCAGCAGCAGGCTCTCGACCCAGTGTCAGCCCCTGTCTCTGAAGAGGTTTGGGACAGGGGCTGCTCACACCCCTGCAATGGGGCACAACTGCCACCAAACAGCTGGCTGGGTACTTTCATCAGCTGCTCTGGCCTGGTGTGTTGTTCCAGAACAGGACAGGGTGGAAGTGTAACAAAACCAGTTCACATGATGAATTCAGTGTGATTTACCTTTTGGTCCCTGGAAGCCAGGCTCTCCTGCTGCTCCTGAAAGAGACCAGGGAAATGCTCATCACAGACAACTCAATGTGTGTGAATGATCCCAAATGCACAGGAGAAGCTGACAAGCTGAAAAGGCCACTTTGAGGAGTGTCCCCGCTCTGAGTGTCCAGGCTGATGCTGCCCAACCCAACTGTTCCCCTGACCAGCAGCGTCTCTTGGGAAGAGCAGGAGGAGGACACAGAGGAGGGAAAATTGCTCTGGCTGTTGCTGGATCTGCTGGAGAGTCCAACAGAGGCTACGAGGATGATGAAGGGACTGGAACACCTGCCTTATGAGGAAAGGCTGAGACATCTGGGGCTTTTTAATCTGGAGAGGAGAAGACTGAGGGGGGATCTAATTAATGTCTATAAACACATGAGGACTGGGGATCAACAAGGCAGAGACAACCTCTTGTCACTTGTGCCCTGTGATAGGATGAGGGGCAATGGATTCAAACTGAAGCACAGGAAGTTCCATCTCAACATGAGGAAGAACTTCTTTCCTCTGAGGGTGACAGAGCCCTGGGACAGGCTGCCGAGAGGTTGTGGAGTCTCCTTCTCTGGAGACTTTCAAGATGCAAAGGTCTGGATGCCTTTCTGAGTGACCTGCCTAGTTTTTGGTCCTGCTCTGGCAGGGGGGTTGGATTGATAATCTTCAGAGGTCCCTTCCAACCCCTGACCTGTGATTCTGCAATACTACAGTGGGAGTTTCACAGCTCTATCTCGGTGGCTTTTTGTGGGGTCTTTCTGTTCTCAGCCAGGCATGGGTGAGATTGTAGGTTTTTTCTGTGGGTTCATCCACCTCACACTGGGGTTTCAGCTGAAGTCATGGGTGCTTTTGACCAGGAAATCATTACATCTTCAACATGCAAAGGTTTTTGTTGGGTTTTCTTCCAGCTGGTCAGTGCACAGGTGCTCAGTTCCTGGTTGCCACTTTCTACTACGAACTGGATTCTTTAGGAGAGACACTTTGCACTGTCTACAGCACACAGATCCTTCTGAAGACCTTAAGCCCAGCCTGGATGGAGTGAAAGCTGATTTCTTTGCAGACATCTTCCTCTTTTCAGAGTCTCTCCCTATCTCAAAGAGCCCCTGTTCTCTCCCTGCGTCACCCTGTGTCAGCTGTTCCCTGGTGGTTTGATCCCATCTCCTGGTCCAGAGGCTGCAATGGCATCTCTCCCCTAGCCCAGACCTCTCAGCACTGTTTCTCTGTGCCGGGGCTCCTGGCCAATGCTCCCCAAAGCTCCCCAGAGGGGATGGGGGTGCATTTGGGCAGGTTTGTCAAGGTGGAGCTTGTTAGAGGGGAATGGGGGCACGTCTGATTTTGTGGGCAGTTAAGGAGAACTTTGAGAAGAGTAGTGTTTACCTCTGTGAGGTGGCCCTGCTCAAGAACATTGTTACTAATACTCACCCCATGCAAGACCCATACCCCAACTCCTGCTTTGCCTGTGTTACTCCAGGGCTGGTTCTTGGACTGTGACCAGCTCTGCAGTTTGCTTCTGCAGACCCTTCTCCTTGTGCATGCCCTGAACATGGGTAGGTTTATGGTTTAGAGCTGAATGTTACCCATTACCTTTTGCACCAGGTGGTCCTGCTTTCTCTGGGAGTCCCTGGGCTCCCATTTCTCCTGCAAGGAAAAATACAGTTTGTACATGCACATTATGAACTGACTGAAGGGGAGATGACACAGAGCCCTGGCAGCTAAGCAGGAACTGGATTTTGTTAATTACTTTCGATCTTCCAATGTATCTTATTCCTCTACTTCTGTTGAAGCTACACTATGCTGGTATGGCTGGTGTAAGTCCTAATTTGCAGTTCACATATTAATTTCTATGAGCTTTTAACATCTTGGAGCCGGCTTATGGATTTTGCTGTGGTAAATCTGGTCCCTCTGCTGATGTGTTTCATCATCTCTATGAGCTGTCTATGAAACACCTGCAGGACCCACTTTCCTTGCTTCCTGGGGCATGGTTTCCTTGATGCAGTTCCCAGACAGTTTGCTGTAGACATGCAGGAGCATCACAGCCCCTCTCCCACCCATACTGTTCAATAAGGACTCAGAAAGTAGGCAAATGTTCTTACTGCAGAAGAAACAACACAGACACTTCACACCTCAGGACTGCTCCAGACTTGTGACAAGACTCAGGGAAAAAGAGACAACTTGACTTGTACCAGCACATGATGGGGCATCAGCAGGTACCAGATGGAGTCTTGTCCACTCCTATGGGACTCTCCCACTGCCTGCAGAGCTGGTGCCAGCACGATTCCAGCCCCACCATCCTTCCCTGACCCCCAAGTGACAAAGCCATTGCATGCCACAGTGCTCCTCACCAGCACTGGGGCCTCACCTGTTGCTCCTGGGAGCTCTGGTTCTCCTTTTGGGCCAGAGGCACCTGGGATCCCTGGGCATCCTTGAAGAATGGCGAGGTGGTCAGCATCACCCAGTTCCACTAGGCTCACCTCTGGGGAAATTAAGACAGTCTTCGTGGAGATTATTAGGGCTCTGAATATCTTGGAGAGGAAACTAAACCCTCTGGAGTTCAGGAACAGTGCAAGGAAAAGCAACAAGGCTTGGAGTTTGGACTGCTGTGAGGATTAACAGAAGGCATGGAGGATCTCAGAGGTCAGAGGAGTAAGACACTGAATCTCTCTGGCTTCAGAAAGTTCAGCAGAGAAAATGGTGTTTGTTATCTGTGACATCACACGCATGACAAATACACTATGGCTTAATACAACAAAAGCTGAGAGGAGCCCTGGGGGTGCTGACAACAGAGAAAGTGATATTGAAGGGTCCACAGACAGCAAAGGTTCTACCCAATTTCCTTATGCTGTGTTGGCTTGAATCAGCCCAGTCCCTTTCCCAAGGAACACAGACAGAGCTAAGCAGAGCTATGTCCTCCCCAGAAAACCTCTGACTGGCCCTTTGCATTGCTCTGCAGTTGGAAAATCTCGCCTGGAACATCCTGTTCCTGGACGCCCCGCTGGCCGGGGCAGGAGGATGCACCTTTTGTTGGAGCCAGTGTGTTTGTAAAGCGGCTGCTGAGGCTTCATTCTCCCTCTCCCCCCTGCCTCTGGAGATAAAAAAGCTGGAATTCAAAAAAAGAGGGTAAAAAATAACCTTCTACCCCAACCCGTGTTTCCGCCCTCCGGTTCCATGCTGGGGGGAGCTGGACCAGGCTGTCCCAGCAGGGTGGCTGCTTGGTTGGTGCCTGCAGGTGTCCTGGGTGTCACAGCTCTTTGCTGCCAGGCTGAACAGTGACTTGTTTGCTCTTGAGTTCAATGTCTTTGTTTCAGTTCCTTCCCTGGTGTCCCAACCTGCCTAGCTGACATCCTCTGAACATTTTGGGTGCCTTTCCCCTCCTGTATTCTATTTCTAGGGGAAATGAACCAGCCAAACCCTCAGTGTAGCTAAGTGCAGACAGCTCTCCTCACCCTGCCTGCTACATCCCTTTGCAAAGAGCAGAGTGTACCTGGTGAATGGGGAAACTGAGGTACTGGAGGACACACAGCCCAGGGTCAGCTGGGCAGCCCCTGCTGGGCAGCATCACTTGGCAACCCTCAAACAAGCTGCATTTCATACATAGTCCATGACTGATGTAGTTAAAACTCTGTCTCCAGGCAAGGTGAGGTGGGCAGAGCAGGTTGGGATTTTTTCCCACCTGCCCCTTTGTGGCAGCATTACTAGGGGCCCAAAGTGCCTCATGGAGTTTGACCCCCACATTACCTTCAGACACAGAGCCTGGAAAGTTTATGACCGTTAGCAGAAGGCAGTTTTTTTTTTTTTTTTCTAATTAGTGTTGCATCCCAGTAGAGAAGAGACTGATTTCTCAGAGCCTCTCCCAGCTCTCAGGATATCAGAGGCAGAGCACAGCTCCCACTCAAGCACTTGCTCCTACCATGAGGTCCCTCTAACACCCAAATTCCAGTGATCCATAGATCATGAGAGCAGCAGTGTCCTTGTGGATGCAGCTGCTTTGGGGAGTGGAAGGGAACTGGCAATGGACAAGCTCAGTCCAAAGTAGGGCAGGCCCCCAAGGGCAGATTTTGGGACTGGTGAAGTGATCAATATGTCCTTAATTGCTTTTCTTCATCCCAGGATCCAGTGATTGCAGAGGGATGATGACACCATCAGCAAGTTTTTTTTTTCCCTATGTAGATTTTGAGAATGGGTTGCTGAGCTCAGTATTTGGTTCACTGATGTCCATTGGTAGGATCACTCAGAAGAGTATAAGGTTTTAATCCAACATTTACTTGATTTCAGTTTTTCTAATGTCAGCATAAATAAATCTCGTTGAGAACAACTTTTCCTTTAGCCTGACCTGGGAGTAAAGAACAAGGACTGAATGCTGCTGAGGTTGGACTGTCACCCCCCACAGAGCTGAAATCCAGCTCTGATGGCAACAAGCTGTGTCACTGCCAAATTTCCTGAAAGCCGCAGAGGAACCATAGCCCCCCTGCCAGGCCACATGTGCCTGGATGTCATCTCCAAGAGCTGGTCAAATATCTGTATTCTCTGCCTGTCTGCCAGCTGACTGTAGCAGGGTGCTCCATCTCTCAATATGCCTGCCTCAGTTTCCCTCTATGATTCAACTGCTTTTTGTCTCTCAGTTTTGCAGGCCCAGGCCTGAAGAGAAATATTCCCATGAGAAGGAAAAGGCCCAGCAAACTCTGAGCTTGTAAGAACCTTGAAAGGTACAGAGGGAAGGTGATGTTCATAACACCAGCTGCTCTCCAGGGTTAAATAATACGGAGCCCAGCCCAGCCACAACCAGGCCTGGAATGGAGATAAAGTGAGAATGAACAGATAAACAATTGAGTTTGCTTGGTGGGAACTGGGCCTTCATGATTTTTTTCTGCTGTTTTCTTTTTATTCTCTAATGTTGGAGATCTGGCTAATGGTTAAATAACAACAGTCAATCCACTTAATTCTATAAAAGCCTGGTCCCATCTTTGATCAGGGACACTCCTGTACCCTTTCCCAGGAGGTTGCTGCACCTTCTCTCCTCTAGCAGGGATGCCTGCCAGAGAGACCGATTCTGATTCACCCAGGGACACCAGCTGCAGCTGGGCGAGGGTGAGATATTAATTCCTTCATTGTCTTTAGTAGCAAACTTAACATCATTAAGATTGTAGGATCCTTTAAGAGTGACAATTAATGTTCCAGGCTTAGTATAGAATTAGATAGTAAGTAAGTTGCCATCAACCTTTGTTGTTTGATCTGACTATAAGTAGTAAAATTCACTGTTAAGATGCTCTTTGCATTCAAACTTCTTATCTCTTCAATTTCCCTGTGCTTTTGCTGTATTTGTGCCTTCTGTTTTGGAGAGTTAAGACCCCCATGTTACTGGCCATACATCTTGATCTGTGCAGATTCGTCTTGTCTGCCATCCCCTCTGTGACACTGACGCCACGAGCTCCATGTCAAAGCTCTTGAGGGAGGAGTTGTGGCTGCTGGTACCACCAGGCAGTCATGAATGGCCAACATGGCCTTTGGTTGAGAACAGCCTGTTTGGACCCTGCTCAACCCCTCCCTGTAAGCTTGGCTGTCAGACCTCATGGGTCTCATTTTCCCCCAATCCAAACACTGCATCATAATTAAGAAATCCCTTCCAGGAGAGAAGATAGTTGAAATTCAAATGTGTGTAACTGCTGACACAAATTTAAGCCTCGATGGAAGAGAAGTTGCATCAGTAACCTGGGCAAAAATAGGATTATTGAAAGCTGTGGGACTAGCAGGAGCAGAAGCTGGGCACACATATGGCAAGAGAGTGGGGGGTTGGGGGAGAGGGGTATGGCATTTGACAGCTTCTGAAATAACTGAAATGCCTGAAATAACCAACATGCCCAGTGGGAATTACAGCTGAGTCAGTTGTCCTCTGGGTATAAAAGGAGCAGACAGGTCCATCTAGGGGGAGACAAATCTCATTTTCTGGAAACAGTGAATTCAGAACCCCTTAGAAAACATCTGTAGAGACCTTGAATAAACTGCAGAAATAGCAGCTTAAATTTCAGCCACAACTTTCAAAAATGTATTTGGATGCTGCTCCAGAACCAAAAAGCAGATTCCTCTTTTAACCATCTGACTCAAGGAAGATCATGCAAGTGCCTGTTGCTCACATTGCAGCTGGCAGAACCTGTGCGTGTGGCTGGAGGACAGGAAATCAGATTCCCATGTGCAGCAGAATCTGCTTCCACAAAAACCTCAGGAGATGGGGGAAGCATTAACTTAGGTGTCTGCTGTGCCATAAGAATGCATTCAGCCAGGGAACACATGATCAGTCACAGAACAAACATGGAGTCAAACAGGATGATGTAGAACTGCAGGTGCAGCATTGCCTGTGGGATTGGGCCAAAACTCCACCTGGTAGGAAGCCAGAATCTGGTATTTTAAGAATATGTGGATTGCGTGAAAATATGTGAATTTTCGCATTTGCTCCTGGGTACCTGGAAAACCTGGGGGTTTTCCTCATGCACTAAGTGCCCCAGAGTCATCACACTCTGTTGTCTTAGCCATACAGGGAACTGTGCCATGGTGAGGTGTTGTGCCAACTCGGGTTTTTCCTCTTGGGTTTGCTTTTTCGAGGCAGAGGAAAGAATGTTGGGTTTTGATCCTATCTCCTTGATTCTAGCTTTCAAAAGCCTTATCTGCCCGGGGACAGGGATAAATATAGCAGCCCATAGCTCATACACCTTGACCTTCTCTCCCAGCTGTCACCCGCCCACACTTGTGTTTCCTCCAGCCCAGACACCCCTGGCGCCATGGGGGCTCATGAGGGGCCCAGGGGGGATGAAGTTTCTGTGACAGCCGGTACTGGGACTGGAGGGAATCAGGGGCTGAAGAACAAGCTGCAACCACCCCTTGCTCTCTGCTTTCCTCCTCCCCATTTTTTCCAAGATGAAGACTGGGGAATGCTCTGGGAGCTGTGCCTGCTCCCCCCGCCTCTGGCAACTGGCTGCAGCCAGGGAGTCAGTGGCTGGAACTGGCATCAGGTTCCTGGTCCACACTAGGCCTCCCCTGGCCCCGCGTGGGACCTTCTGCAGAGCAGGTCAGCAGCAGACACTCGTCCATCTTCACCTGTGGCCAGATGTGGTCCAGGGAAGCCCACCTGGAAACTGTCTTGAATCACCAGAGGGGAGGTGAACAGAAGGGGAAGAAAATGGAAAAGAGAAAGAAAAGGGAAGGGGAAGGAACAGAAGGGGAAGAGGAAGGAAAAAGGAAGGAAAATGGAAGAGGAAGGAATGGGGAAGGAAATCCTGATGGGTCTGTGATTGGAAGAGGGAGCTGTGGAGTACTGGTGTTACCTGTGCTCTGGTAGTGACATTTTGTCATTATTGAGAAACATTTGCTGCGGCCCCAAACTTGCCCAGGTTGGGGTCTGTCTCCCCTGTAGCAAACTGCTGGCATCTCACTTAGCAGAGTATGTTTTGCATTTGCCACAAAGGCAACTGAAGTCACCTTGTT